AATCACCGGTAGGATGGCTGGATACAACATCATGAGAATTTGAGCGTGAACTCGCACCATTTAAGATATGGCTCCAAAGGGATACAATTCTTATGTTCCAAAGTCTTGCTATCAACCTTCTTTACCATGCCCCAAGCTCTTACAAATCTTTGATGATAACCTTGAACACCATTCTCATAGTTGAATATAATACCCTGGATGAGTGCGTCATGGGGACCATCTCTTCGAGCATACCCAAATTGTCGTAGAGCCAGAGAAGGGTTGTAAGTAATACCTCCCCTAATGCCAAGGAGTGCAAAATTATGGAATTCCCTACAGTGGTTAATGATAGTAACATTTTCCAGAGACCGGGAACACTAATAAATATCCGAATAAGAGAGCGACAACATCCTTTGAGACCACCTCAAGCCTTATTCATTCTTCAATACTGATCGGGGAAGGTGCGAAATAAACCACCTAGATAGAAACGGTATGCAACACATAAGAGCCCCTCTTCTCCTCATGGTACGAGTGTGAAAACAATGCAAAATGTCTCCAAGCAAAGTAGGCACAGGGTTACAAGTAAGGAAAATCTTGATAGTATTCACATCTATAAATTGGTCTGGATTAGGGAACAATACTAACCCATACATGAGAAGAGCCAAGGCTTCTTCAAAAGCTTGCAAATCCATAGCCTCCTAAAGCATTCAAGCCTTCTCCATCAGAAACTTAGCTAGAAAACTCTCGACCCCACTCCTTATTTCCCAATTAGATACAATGTCGGACCTCTTCAAATGCAAGGCCTTGGTAATAACTTCAGGCTTTGGAGTTTCCTCTAAACCGGTGAATGGCATTTGATCGAGGATAGGTACTCCCAACAGTTGAGAGAATTCTTCCATTGTGGGCACCAATTAGTAATCAGGAAAGGTGAAGCAATGATGTACAGGGTCAAAGAACTGAAAGAGCACACACATCATGTCTTCTTCAAAGCTTGAGGTAACCAGATTGAGAAGTCGACCATATCTTTTGGTGAAGGGATGATCTTCAGGAACCCTTGATGCTATCTCTTTTAGTTGATGAGGCATCTTCACAAAGCTGATTCATATGGTATTTCTGCAAGTGGAAGCCATGACCTACAAAACAGGACAAAGATAAATCGCATAGGTCCTTGAAATGGGTTAGTGAAAATGAAATGGCATGATGTCATGATGTTTATGATGTCATAAATAATTAATCGCGAACAAAATACACAAGAACTTAGATTTAGGCTTGTATGGGGTTTATAGGTAAGTACCCTCTTGAAGTTTAGTTGGCTTAACTTGTCCTAAGAAGTAATCGTGTTCTAAGGAATCTCAATATCACTGATCTTTCTTCATCAGGCATTAATTCAGCACAAGCCTCTATTTTGGCAAATAAAATATCCCGAAAGTCAGATCTCAATGAGTGTAGTATTGAGTATCAACCAACTTCAGTCTGCACCAAAGCCATCTATCTCACTATTTTCTAATGGCCAAGTTGTTCAACTAAGGTTCTATGGTCAGTTAGTGCTTCATGACACCATACATCGACCCCATATTCTCCTTGATTCAACACAAGGGACACCGGTACCAACAAATGTGTCACACTAACATAGCCATCGCTTCAACCATATCGTTCTATGCCGTACAATTTCCACGATCTATTGCTACTTACCTAATATGCCCTAGATCCGGGTATAGGATCTTTACAAGTAATAAACCCAAGCATAACCCATAAATGTAAAGCAAACAAATCAAACAAGTAAAGCAATAAAGGTGATCTAGCTCTTAAGGTAACCTCACTTTTATTATTCTCCCCAGCAGAGTCACCAGTTCTATAATACAGTGGAAGAACTGACTTGGTGTTTTACGTTTTATCGAAATTGTTGTGGATAGCAAGAGTCGCCACCGACTTTTATTTTATCCAATAAAGGAAAGGGTGAAAAGAACAGGAAAGACCTTTTGAGATTTTTTCTTGAGTTCAGGGGGTAGGTTATGAAAATGGAAAGTGTTAGCACCCTTTTCATCTGTAGTTATCTACGGGCTCTTAATTGCTAGCTCAATTTGAAATGTTTTGTGTTTTGTGTAAGTTTTGAAAATATTTTGAAAAACGCCTTCGTGCAGAAAGCTTTACAATGATTCTCGTATCGTTGAGAATGTATGTAAAGTGTTGGTTTTGAAAATATTTGTTGTTTGGAAAGTGTTTGAAAGATGTTTTGAAAGTAAGAGGTGTAAAGATTGTTTTGATTTATGAGCAAGCAATTACGAGCAATCTACCAACTCAAAAAGTCTTTGTTCTTTTCCTCTTCCTTTAGATTGTGCTACTTTACCATTGGTTGGTAAGGAGCCATATCATTGGATGTGAGGGACAGACGTGGGTCATCGTACAGTCATCGAAGGCAACTTGTGGGACACTTTAGCAATTTTTCAAAAGGACTCAGATCATTTTAGTGAAGGCAACATTGAAGGGTCATCGAGGGACTATAATCTTTTTTAATCGAGGGTCTTTGCTAAAGCATCCCATATTCGAGAGACATGACTGTTTTTCCGAGGCAACAAGCGAGGTTACCCTAGAGGTGCGCGTGTGAAAAGTGTTTGATTTCAATTAAATTATCTTGATTAGGATTATCTAGCGATTGATTTTAAATCTTGCCATACACGGCTAATTATTACACAGTATAAGGAAGTGCGGTAAAATGCGGAAAATAAAGTTCTACGCTATTACAATGCTTCGGGAATGGGGGTACAAATTTATGAATGGGGAAAAAGTAAAAAAAGCCTAGTTAAACTATTTACAAACCGTAAGCAATTACAATAATCGAAAGAATGCAAAAATAATAAATTACACGAAAAAAGAAAAGAGAAATTGTTTTTTTTAATGGTTTTATCAAGTAAGGGAATTAAATCAAATAAAAAGCTATGAACGAAAATTCAAAAATTAAAATTAAAAATAATATTTTTGGTATTTTATTTGTGAGAAAATTCAAAAATAAAATAAAGACCTATTCTACTATTTTTTGGAATTTTGTTTATCATGAAGAAAATAAAATAATTAGAAGAAATCAACTAAAAAAAACTATTAAAAATAGAATAAAATGACTAACTAACATAATTTATTATTCACAAAATTCTTAAACAAATTTTTAAAACTAGAAAAAATAAGAAATTATTTAGTTAAGAAAAATTTGAATTTAAAATCTAAACTAAGCTAATAAAATCATGAATAATAATAATAATAATAATAATAATAATAATAATAATAATAATAATAATAATAATAATAATAATAATAATAATAGTAGTAGTAGTAGTAGTAGTAGTAATAATAATAATAATAATAATAATAATAATAATAATAATAATAATAATAATAATAATAATAATAATAATAATAATAATAATAATAATAAAAAGGGTGCAAACATAAAATACTGGGGTTGAATGGTGAATTTCGCTCATGGGATGGAAGTTGGAGAAAGGCCCAAAACAATTTCTGTTTACTTAAAATAAAATGGATGGGAGTGTGAGAAAGGAAATTAGGGCACTATGCTTGAGGATGGTGGGGCGGAGGCCCAATGGGTTGTTAAAAAAAACAGAAAAAAAATAAAAAAATGATATAATCATACAAAAAACTAACGGGCTCGGGTTGTTATAAGGCCCAAGCGCTTTGTCACAAAAAACAAATATATATAAAAAAAACAAGAAGTTGGGCTTAACCAGACCGGTTCGGGCCAGACCCGAATCTAGCCCCTTTCACAATCGTCCAGGTTTAATAAGGAACCCTAAATGAAAGCTGCATCAATTTGCCTCAGAGTTCTGCGAACTCTCTCTATTCCTGTTCATTTTCTCCCCACTCTCTCGATAAACCCTTACTCTATTTCTCCATCTCTCGATTTCTCTATGCTTCATTTTTTATTCTCCTTCTCTCACGAACTTAATTCTGCTCCTCCATCATTCTTATTCACAAACAACAACAAGAAACAACATTTGAATCAAATATTTAAAAGTATAGAGAAATGGAATACTGAGTCGGAGATCTTTGTGAAGGTTGGTGTCTTTACAATTGGAAACGACAGATTCTCTGTAGTATGTCGGTGTTGCTCGAATAGCACGATTGGTTGGTGCAGAGGTGACGGTCTCCGACGGTGATATGCGGATGTGACAAAAAAGTTACCTCGGGCAGCCTTATCGGTAAGGTTCAATGCTTTATCACTTTTAATCTTTATATGTTTTTGTGTGTTTGTATGCTTTGAGTGTTTTGATTTGTTGTTGTGGAATTATTGTTATGAGGTTCTTCTATTGTTGTGTGATGGTTTGAAGAATTTGAGTTGAATGAGTTGTGTTTCTCTGCTTATGTGAATGATGGTTTTGAGTGGATTATGAGAGTCAATTTGTGTAGAGGTTGGGTAAGGTTTAGGTTTTTGAGGTGATTTTGAAGGGTGAGTCAGATTAGGGGTGTGGACAAAGGGAGTATTACTGTATGGTGATGATGAAGGTTGTGAAGGGTTGAAGAGAAAATGTGAAGGGTATATTGGTGAAGGTGTAGTAGAGGTTTTTGAGGTTTTTGTTTTTTCTTCTGGTTTTTAGTGGAATATTGAACAAAGTTTTTGTAGGGAGTTTGAAAAAGTTTGAAGAGGTATTGAGGAGCAGTTTTTTTCATGTCCTTGAGTAGTCTTTTTTCCCCTCTTTTTTATAGCTGAAAGTATGGGGAATTTGGGGGGAAATGTTAGTGAATTTAGAACACTTTAGGCTACTATTTTTGTTGTTTTTTCTGATGCAGAAATGTTTTTGCTGAACTTGTGTAATTTATTGGACAAGTTTGATGCAGATTTGGACAATATTGCAGGTTTTGAAGTAGACTGTTTGGTATGGTTATGCAGGGACATCAGGGCTGATTTTGGACAGCAAGGTGCAGAAGCAACATGATTGTTTTTTGGGCTGTTGTTGCAGTTTTGACCTTTGAAGTAACCTTTGGCTTAACAAAAACTTTAGCTTTAGGCTTAGCTACTTGCTTAGCTTCTTAGCCGCTGTAGAAAGCTTGAATGAAGCTTTAACCTTAGCAAGCTTTCCAGAAGCAACATTCTTCTTGTTTTGAAGCAATAGCTTCTTGAAGTTTCCAGGAAGCTGTTTGTGTTTCTCTTCTATGAATTTTTCTATAGCATATTGGTTTGATCCATTCTTCTCCTTCAACGATACAATAGCATCTTTAATCATCTCTTCATAAGTAGGATGTGAAGCATGGTTTCGTGGTTTCAAAGCTTTCTTAGGCTTGGATTCTTTGGTTTTCTTTGTCTTCTCAGATTCAGCCTTTGGTTCCTTCACTTTCTCCAATACCAGAGATTCGGCGGTCGCTGGTTCAAGCACGGGTTCAACGATGATAATTGGTTTTTCGGTGGTCATGTAAATAGATTGGAAAGGGAATTAAATTTTGGATGAAGAGAAGAGACTATAGTAGGGAAAATTGAAATACTTGTGTGTAATTTGGAATTATGAGCACGATTTAATTCTTCTTTGTAACCTTAGAACTTAAATAGAATGTGATTTTGGATTCCACAACATGAACTTTATTTGATTTGAAATGTAATCTTTTTCTTGCATCCAAAACATTCAAAAATGGAAATTGATGAATGAACTTGATGAATATTGAATGTACTTGAATAGTCATGAATTTTTGAATTTGAATGAATGTTATAAATTGAAGATTATTAATAAAATAACGTGGATGTTGCTTGAACTTGGTTTAAATTCAATATTTGTATATCATCTCACGGTTTCATAAGAACTTGTGCTCAAAACAAACTTGTATGTCGCGCCCGACTCAAATGAACATTAGTTGCCAAACTTGAATTCAACCTCTTGTTCGAAGTTAAAAAGCATAAGTTGCACCATAAGTAATTGTCCTCAAATCCTTGTATCTCAGGCAACGGTTGATTGGAGAAAGTATCCTTGAATTCATGTCTCATATCTTGACCAATGTCTTGTAACTCAGGCAACTAGATGCAGGCTCTTATCATAAGAACATTCAATGAAACCCTATCCATGATGTGCATTAAGTGATGATCTTGGTCGAAGCCCTAATAAAAAATGATGAAGGCAACCATAAGAGAGTGTATCTTAACCCATGAACCATAGAAGAATTTTCTTCTCTCTATTCCATCCCTCGATAAGAATTCTAGTTAAATGACTTATGTTGCAAGTAGTTGATGTAAGATCTCAAGCAAAATCAAACCCAAATTACGAAGAAAGGGTTCTATGATGATAGAGGGACAAAAACCTAATTCAAACAATCTTAGCCAAAATATCTTGGTGAAAACCCTCAAAACCCTAGCTTCAAAATCCAAATCTTAGAAGAAACAGAGAATCAACCTTTATTTCATAGAGAATCCCAGAACAAAGTGAAACCCTGATTTCACATTTCAATACTTGTAGTCTCGAATCTTCAGATGAAACGATAGACAAGTTGAGGTGTCTTGAGGCGTGAGAAGCCTTGGTAGCCTTGAGTAGTTGGAAACCCTAAAGGAATGTCTTGAAGAAAATGGAGGTAAAATTTTGGGGTACAACAATATGTACAAAAAAAAATCTATGATTTCTTTTAGATACTGATGAGTTATCCATGTCGTCATATCTAAGTCAAATCAAAACTTTTGTTTAAACGCCAGTAAGATGATACATCATCATCTATGCCAACTTTTAATACCCATGGGAATGCTGTACAACATATCCTTTTAATTTTTCGGACAAATTTTGGGGTCTTCCATTATTTAATAAACTTCTGATCAAAACGTGCGAGACCTGTATATTCTCGCACTTTTCAATCGAATGACAATTAAATAGAGGCAGCTATCATACCCAAAATTTTCCCTACTGGTTCCTAATCAATTTTATTCATAGATTTATCATTTGCTTTATAGTATATTATCATCAAATTCATATATTCATGGGTTTTAAGTTTAGGGGGGGGGGGGGGGGGGGTTACCTTACCAAGAAATTAATTGGCCTTTCTAAATCAGAAAAGGCCCGTGTAAATTTTTAAAGCCCATTAAGTTTTCACTTGCTAAACGTAGGGTGCATCTTAGGTTAGGGGGTTTAGCATCCAACTTGCTAAGCCCATTGTGTTTCCATGTAAGTATTTTTTTTCATTTCGTTTTCAGCCCAATTTTGAAGGTTGTTAAGAATTCTTGGGCATTTCTAAATCAGAAAGGCCCATGTAAAGTTGATGGCCCATTCAGTTTCTCTTGTAAGAGGTGTATTTGTTAGATATATTAGCCCACTTAGAATTCTATAGAAGGGGAGGTATGCAAATTACATGAGGGGTTTATTGTTAATCGGACCGGCCCACTAAAGTGTTGAGGCCTGTTTTAAATAAGGTTAGAGGGTGTATATTTTAATTAGGAAGGTCCATAACAATTCGTTTTTGAAGGCCCAGTAATTAAATAATTTGGCCCATTTCAGGTTTTTTTGAGAAATTGTTTTGTTTTACATAATTATTATTAGTAACGTTGTTAAAACTATTTCTATTATATTATAAACTTAATTAAGTCATAATCATTTTGTTTTATTATCTGAAAACAATGACTAAAATGTCAAAATTGAAACCTTCAACCCTAATCGCACGGTCCAGCCTTTCACAGGCCCAATACAAACACGAACTGTTCAAATCAGGAAAAAGAAACACTTTGTTTCAAAGCTAAAACACGCACTGTTCAGATTAAAGAAGGAAAAACGTTTGCTTTAAGGCTAAAATGATTACTGTTCAAATCAAAATAAAATCAAATCTTTTACATTGAATTGTCCGAAAAATTTACAAACACAATCAAATCAAACTTAATACAAAGTTGAACCAAATCATAACTAAATAAAAAATTATCATACAGAATCAAACCAAATTACAAGCAAATCTCTAAAATCCTTAATTCTCTAATCAATCCTAAAAGTAACAATAATCATACAAAAATTCCCTAATTTGTCTAAACCTAAACACTATAAAAAGCCTATATATTCTAAGACAGGGAATTTTTTTTTACAAAGATAGAAGAATTTGGAGAGAAGGAGAAAAAGTAGAAGATATTACAGAGCCCTCGCTGGGATCTTCATCAGCGCGCCTCTAATCGGGATATGGGTTTCAAAATATGAAACCCTATATCCTTGAATCTCCGCTACTGTACCTGGGAAAAATAGAGAAGAGGGATTAACGATCAAAGGAAGTCGAAGGAGAACAATCAAATTCACGACCATACAGGTAATCCGTGGAACACTTAGGTTTAGGGTTTTTATTTTTGTTGTGGTTTTTGTGTTTGATCTTGGATTTTTGTATGGAGATTTAGGAGTTAGGGTTGTTTCTGGGGGTGATTATCGTTGTTGTTGTGTTGGAGAAGGAGGGAGACGATCGGGGTTGGCCGCCGCTTAGGGGGGTTCAGCGATTAGGGTTATAAGAGAGAGACAAGAGATAGAACATAGAGAGGGATAAAAAGAAATGATGAAATGATTTGTAAAACAAAAATATAATATTTTCAATAATCAGATGCACGCAGTTCCATGGATGTTACCATGCACCCTTCATCATGACCGCGTGATCCATATCAAGCGTCCCATGAATACACGTCTATTGTATTACAATACACCCGTCCACATGGAGTCCCAACAGACACCCAAATACCCTTTGGGCCAGGCCCAGTTGCTAAATCAACCCTCAGTATGCTCTGTTTTATTGTCACAATGCAAACCTACACCCCCACCAGCCTAATGGGCCAAGTCCAACATCTGGACTTGGACCCTTACTCCCTACACACCCCACTTTTACTATGCAGTTCAAGTTTATACCCCCCCGCGTTTGGGCCTGAATTCAACATCTAAATTCAGGACCCTACTACCTATACCCTCTGTTTTGCTAGCCTAGCACAATATACACCCCGTACATTTTTTTTAAATTTCTTTTATTATTTGTAATTATTATTTTTTTATATTTTAATATATTTACAAACTCTAAAATAATTTATTTATTATTATAAAATCAAATATTTATTTTCCAACTCATCCAAATATTTATTTATTGCATTAAAATTATTTTAATCATGCATTACTAAGATCTTTTTATATATTAATACTTTAAAAAAATACTTAACCAACACTAAATTATTTTTTTATTAAATCAATTAAACTCTAAATTAATTTTCAAAAAGGATTATGAAGATATTTTAATTGACTATGAAATTCGTCTAACAACTCCGCTATTCACACACCTAGACTAAGTGCAAGGGGAATTCAATCATCTTCGTAACCCATAAAAAATACCAACCAACTGCGAACTACGAATTGAGACTCTGATTCCTCCTAATAGGATACGTAGGAATAAGACTAAAATCGTGACGAGTTCCCTTAATAAAAAACTAAAACTCTATTTCTTAAAGATTGCGTTTCTAAACCCTAGTATCCTTGTGAGCAAGGTAGATGAGGGGTGCCTAACACCTTCCCTTTGTCTAAGAACGAGTCCAAAAACTTAGAATCTCAGTCCAAATTAGGGTTAAACTTTATATTCCCTTCCTTAGGATAAAAATTAAGGGTGGCGACTCTAGATTTAAAATCGGTTACAACAGATAGTAACTAAATAGTCCATAAAGAAATAAGTCTTTTAAGGTTCAAGTTGATTATTAAGTTTCTTTAAAAGAAAAGAAAGCTCAAGTGAGCAAAGAAAAAATGACATAAAAATAAATGCTCAAGTGAGCAAAAAAAAAAAAAACAAACATAAAATATAAATGCTCAACGAGCAAAAGAAAAATGACATAAAATATAAATGGTACATAAAAGTAAAGGCACAAAATAAAGGCATAAATTAAAGTTAATTGTTAGTGCCATGAATGATCATTTTTTGAATCGAGAAAAATTTAGGGCTATGTTAAGAAATTGTAAGTGGACTTATGTAGAAGCCACACCTATTTTAAAGCCGGTCAATAGCAATATATGTACCACACATGTTAGATAAATGATATCTAGATCATTCTCCAAAAACAAGTAGCACAAGTAAAAACAAGAAAGGAATAAGATGAAGAGGGAGGGGAATGATAAGTTAATTTGGATCACAACTTCAAAATTCTTTCATCTTTAAATTCAATCACTCATCTTGGTAGATTAAAGTACTAAATATATCACTAATTCAAAGCACCAAAAATGAATTAAATAATTCACTCTTAGGTAGATTTAAATTAATGAACATTTATCCAACTTCATCTACACCCAAAGTCCATTGAATTTAAAGAGAAATTGGATATTTAAAATTGAAATTTAAAGCAACAATCAAAGCAAGTGAGTAGAAAAAGAGAAAGGAATCAAAACAGCCCCAAAACAAGGCAAATAATACATTATCTCCCAGCGAAAATCGATTTGCATGTTTGTGCAAATCGGTT